TTGCTTGGAAAAAATCTCCTGTCGGGACTGCTTCATTCTGCTTCAGTTGTAGGCTCTACCTATTATACAGGTAATCCTCGGTTTATGACAGTTCATTTAGTAACCGTTCAAAGTTACAAACTTAACAAATTTCTCACTTAATATCTGGTTAGTCACTTATCAGCCAGTGATTCTCTTAACAACGGAGGCAAATGGGGCAAAACTCACTTAACAAATGTTTCCCTTAAAAGCCGGGTTAGTAACTTATCAACTGCAGTGATTCACTTAACAACAGAGGTAAGAAAAGTAATAAAATGGGGCAAAACTCACAAAACGTTTCACTTAACATAAATTTGGGGCTCCATTGTGGTCGTAAGTCGAGGACTACCTGTATGAAGGACTATTCTAGGTTCCTGTTGGTGCCCACCAGAGCAACAATAGATTTTCTGCATCTGTTGACCACTTTGTGCAGTGATCTCCGTGAAAATTGGGACCGTTTCCATGATGACATGAAAGCTTCGGGGTTTTTTTTTTTCTTCAATTCTGCTTTTAGTCATCAGAATTATTTCCTGATTGTTTCCTGTTGTTCTCTTATGTTTCTATATGGCCGTGCGATACTTTTTGAATCATTTTTGGTGTTTGTTTGAATGGAAAGTGAATACTTTTTGCATTTTGTTTGTGAATAAAGCTACATAGTAAAGAATAGAGAGCCGAGAGAAGGTTGTGTTGCTTTGAGGGCAAGTTAGCACAATGGAAGGATTGTGTGGCGTTGCCATTTTAGAAAGCTAACCGAAAACACACGTATTGCAGAGATGCCACATCCATTTTGTATTATATTTGCTGTGTCTAATGTTGGTTCTTCAGAATCTCCTCTTGCGTCAGAAGCACCCACAAATTATAAACCTTCAACCCAGAGCAATTAAAATGGGTATAAAATAGGTCATTGCACTGTAGCTCAGTTAAAAAGTATGTGCAATAAATAGGATTAAAACTAAGTGACATTCATTCAGTATGGAGCCACATCGTTTTCTCTCCCCGGTGCGAGCTCTTCCTCCATACGTGATGAAGGACATCGTATGCTCCATAGCATAAATGATGAGATGGATTGTCCTTCTCCACATTCACACAGCCTGCCTATCTTCTATTGGGAAACCCCATTTTTTAAAGATTGTCCTTTGAGCTTCCTATCCTGGCATGCAGGCACTCATAAAAACCTAGGGAGTGGAGTGGAGTGGAGTGGAGTGGAGTGGAGTGGAGTGGAGTGGAGTGGAGTGGAGTGGAGTGGAGTAGAGTAGAGTAGAGTAGAGTAGAGTAGAGTAGAGTAGAGTAGAGTAGAGTAGAGTAGAGTAGAATAGAGTAGAATAGAATAGAATAGAATAGAATAGAATAGAATAGAATAGAATAGAATAGAATAGAATAGAATAGTTGGAAGGGACCTTGGAGGTCTTCTAGTCCAACCCCCTGCTCAGGCATGAAACCCTACACCATTTCAGACAAAGGGTTATCCAACATCATCTTAAAAACTTCCAGTGTTGGAGCATTCACAATTTCTGGTGGCAAGTTGTTCCACTGGTTAATTGTTCTGACTGTCAGTAAGTTTCTCCTGAGTTCTAAGTTGCTTCTCTCCTTGATTAGTTTCCACCCATTGCTTCTTGTCCTGCCCTCAGGTGCTTTGGAGAATAGCTTGACTCCCTCTTCTTTGGGGCAGCCCCTGAGATATTGGAAGACTGCTATCATGTCTCCCCTCGTCCTTCTTTTCATTAAACTGACACTTCCCGTGTTCTTGATTCTATCCCTCTGTTAATGCAGCCTAGAACTGTGTCGGCTTTTTTGGCAGCTGCCGCACACTTTCTTCTTCTCCATCTCCCCCATGTCTGTGTGAATGGGTCATTCCGCCCTCTTCCTCTTCTTCCATGGCGGGACAGGGCTGGCATTTCCATCTTGAGTTGAAAAACAGCCTTGGCTCTCCAATGTTCTCTCTCTTTTTTCCCACCATCCAATGAAGTCCCATGTTCCTGTTAACGCTTCAGAAATGCAACCAAAACACGGTCAAGAACAGCCATGACGGCTGCCCACTTGTGTAACGCTGGAAATTCACAAAGTCAACCAAATGTCGAAAAGCAACGGTGCCCAAGAGGAACTTCCTGCTGAATTTTTTTTTAAAAAAAAATTCAGCTCATCCTTCTTGGAGGAAATTTCTTTCCCTGCTTGCCCCATAGTCTTCTTGCTTCCCCATCCAAGTTGACCGATGTGCGAAAACGCAGAAATCCCTCGCTTGCAATTTCCCGAATTATATTAAACAACCTGAAGCCCATTTCCTCTGAGCTCAGCAGAGAGAGCGCTTTCTTCAGATCGGCTGAAATTGTTGTTTTTTTAAAGTTTCTCCATACTGCCTTTTTAACCTCTCCCAATTGCCTAATGGAGTGGAGGGCACCCATCTGTATAATTTCTTAGTTCTGGGTTGCTTCTCTCCTCGATTAGGTTCTATCTTCTAGCTTCTTGTCCTGCTTTCTGGAGCTTTGGAGAATAGAGGTTTTAGAATAACAGAATTGGAATTGTAGGTCATCTAGTCCAAGCCCCCTACCCAAGCAGGAGACCCTACTCCATTTTTGACAGGTGGCAGTCCAATCTCTTCTTGAAAGACTCAAATGATGAAGCTCCCACAACTTCCGAAGGCAACTTCTGTTCTATGGGTTGATTGTTCTCCCTGTCAGAAAATTCCTCCTTATTTCTAGGTTGAATCTCTCCTTGTTCAGTTTCCATCCATTATTCCTTATCTGGCCTTTGGGTGCTTTGGAGAATAGCTTGACCCCCTTCCTCTCTGTGACATCCCCTCAAATATTGGAAGGCTGCTATCATGTCTCCCCTGGCCCTTCTCTTCACTAGACCAGCCAGGCCCAGTTCCTGCAACCGTTCCTCGTATGTTTTAGCCTCCAGTCCCCTAATCATCCTGGTTGCTCTTCTCTGCACTTTTTCTAGGGTCCCAACATCTCTTTTATAGTGTGGCGACCAAAATCGGATGCAGTATTCCAGGTGTGGTCTAATGCAGGAGGGAGTAAAAGAAAACTTAACTGGCTAGCCTTCCTTTGAAGATGGATGTGTCATGAAAGGAAAATGTTCTGAATTAGGGCGGAAAGAGAGAACTCTTGTGGAACTAGTTTGCTTTGAACTTAGCGCCAGCTCGTCATGTCATCGTTAGTAAAAATTAGGAAGCAGATAGATAGATAGATAGATAGATAGATAGATAGATAGATAGATAGATAGAGTTTTTCTATCTCCGCAACATGTGGGAGGGAGCATACTGCTTTCCTTTCGCCTTTCAACTCCAATCCAGGAGCCCTCAAGCAGTCTCATTCATGACAAACCATTTTTATACCAAATTTATATTTCGCTGATAAAGAAATAAAGGGAGACTAATATAGATTTGAGCCAAGTTCGAATCCGAGTAAGGCTATGGCTAGCTGATGAGAGCTAAATAGCTTGAAATAGATCTATACTAGTCTCCCTTTATTTCTTTTCAACGAAATATAAATTTGGTATATATATATATATATATATATTATATGTATGTATGTATGTATGTATGTATGTATGTATATATATATATATATATATATATATATATGTATGTATATGTATATATATGTATATATATGTATATATATGTATATATGTATATATATATGATATTTTTGTAGTCAGGGTTTTTTCCTATGTAGATCAAGTTGTTAAATGGCCATAGTGGGATGATATCTCAAATCATCACTTTCAGGCTTGTCAGACATATTGTGTTGTTTGTTCTGAGACTTATGGGAGACTGGGATAGCACTATTTCTGTCTTTTTGGACTTCATCGGCCAGCCACACCCATATTTTATGACTCCTCCCTGTAAAGGTCAAATATTTATTCTTTTCAATGATATAAATGATATAAAAAGGATGTTGAGACTCTGGAAAGAGTGCAGAGAAGAGCAACAAAGATGATCAGGGGACTGGAAGCTAAAGAAGACTAGCTAATGTCTAGTCTAATGAAGAGAAGGACCAGGGGAGCTGCCCCAAAAAAGAGGGAGTCAAGCTATTCTCCAAACCACCCGAAGGCAGGACAAGAAGCAACGGATGGAAACTAATCAAGGAGAGAAGCAGCCTGAAATTAAGGAGTAATTTCCTGACAGTTAGAACAATTGATCAGTGGAACAATTAATTAAGAAGTTGTGGGCACGCCATCGCTGGAGATTTTTAAGAAGAGACCAGATAACCATTTCTCTGAAATGGGACAGGGTCACCTGCTTGAGCATGGGGTTGGACTAGAAGACCTCCAAGGCCCCTTTCCACTTATTCTGTTACTTTCTGGGGTGGGGGGGTGTCCTTTGCTCTGTTATTAATTCTGGAAACTGAAGGGTCGAAACCGGTGAGAGAAGTCAGCTCCTTCCTTTGACGATTATGAAGAGGACCGTCCGTTTCGACTTAGACGGGCCTAACCAGGTTAAACTCATAATAAACGGCAGCAGAAAATGGAATTCTTGGTTTTGCTGATACCACACCAGACCCGAGAGAGGGGCAGCTCCGTGGGCTTTTTATCATGTCAAAAGCAGAAACATACCAGAGAGGAGACCTATCTAATCTGTCCCTTCGCATGCCCAGACTGCCTTTTGAATTCTGCATCTTGAGTTGTATTCTCCACCGGACTGATGTATGATTCACACACACACACACACACACACACACACACGGTTTGGCCTTTTATTCATCTTGAAAGGGGCGGGGGGAAGAAAGCAAGCTATAATCGAAATGCTTGTTAGAATCTGCCAAAAACAGAGGCGGTAAGATGATGCGGCGGAGGGAAATATTCGCCTTCTGTTTCCCGGATTCCTGTCTGGGTAGGCTTTGAGAAAGTGGCAATCGTTATTTATTTTTTTTACCAATAAATAAGAATATTTGTAGCTCAGGGTTGAATTCGAGAGTTCCTCAGTGGCTTTCCTGCAGATGTTTCTACATAAGATCATCTGCTGCTGCCTTTTTTTTTTTTGGAAATTTATTTGGTAAGGGGGAAAAACAGAGCTAGAACAAGACTTGAAAATGATGCAAGGATCCCAAAATAACAGGAGGATTTGTTTATTTTCCCCCCTGTGCATTTTTTTTTTTTTTTGGGACGAGTGTCATCTTCTATTGAATGCTTCCTCTGTTTCAACTGACCCTCCCCGGAGCCTGTGCATCCTCCTAGACCGAGGTCGCCCTTCTGCACCCCTTCCCGTCTGCAAGCCAGAAAAGTGTCCAGTCACAGCTTCTTCTGATTGGCCCGAGGCGTCTGGTTTGAATAATGAACCTGTTAGTGTTGGGAGCTTCGATTGGCCGGGCCCTGCTGCAGTGAGAATGCAGGCTGGATCATCGGGGCTGCTGCTTGTGCTCCTTTTGACGTGCATTGTATGGGTTGGGGGTGGGGGGAGGACACGCTTCCCCGGCTAATCCTGCAGCTGGCAAACTCCGCCGAGCTCCATCCTTCTGGCCACGGGAGAGAGGCTTCTGCGCAGGCTTCCCGCGGCAGCCAGCATCTTTCCTCCCTCCTTCTCTCGCTCTCTCTCTCTCCTTGAATGAACTGCTTGTGAGTCCAGGCACGAGAACGCTGCCAGCGTCTTCAAAGGCAGACAGGCAGGCAAGCAGGCACTCCAACCGCAACATGAGCCTCTGGCAAGGCCTGGTGTGAAGCTTCCCATTGCAGGACCGATTCCTCCTCTTCCTCCAGCTTGAGCGGATCATCCGTCCTCCCCTCCCAACCCTGCAGCGAGCATCCTTCCCGTCCGAGCGAGCCTCTCCCTTCGCCAAGGGATTAAGGGGATGCTGCAGTCGTTCTGGCGTCTCTTGTCTTCCCTCTTTCAAAGGGCTGGGTGCGAAGACCCCGCCGGCGCCAAGGAGGATGCGGCCAAGGAAGAACCCCCCGTTCCCAACCCCGGGGACCAAGCGCCAAAGATGCCCCAAAAGTTGCACAACAACAAAGAGGCCGATCCCTCCGAAAGGAGGTCGACCATTCTCCTGGTGGTTGGGCCTGCCGAGCATTTCACAGAGGTAACGTTTCCGAGGCAGACTTCTTCTCCCCGCGCGACTGGGACCCGTCGGAGGGGCAGGGAGGGTGGGGCAAGGGGCCTCGGGGGCTTCGGAAAAGCCGCTTGGGGAATGGGAACCTTGGTGACAGTACCGCTGAGAAAAAAAAAAAAACACCCCAAGAAGTTTCAGCTGGCGTGATGCAACCCCGCATCTGATATTCTCCCTCCGTCTGCAATTCTTGAATCGCTCGACTTACCTGCCGAAGGCCAATAAGACCGATAGACTTCCAGGCTGATAACCTAAGTGGAAGTTTTCAATAATTGCTCTCGGCAAGGATTTTGTCTTAACTTAGGCTCTTGTGGCATATTGTGTGTGTGTGTGTGTGTGTGTGTGTGTGTGTGTGTGATTCCCTCGGAGCGCATAGATCTCTTCGTGCTTCTCCAGTTGCGTTTGTCGCAAGGAGAGCTGAGAATCCTGCGTCCGGGGACCGAAAAAGGATTTTCAAAATTAGGCGAAATTGCAGCCTCGCGGCTCAGTTTTGTGCTGTGGTCAGTATATACAGTTGATGTGCCTGCAAGGAGGGCGGTGAGCCTCGGAAAAGCTGCCTTGATTCATTTGTGCAAGAAAACCACGTAGAATTAAAAAACAAAACAAAACAATTTAGTTCTCCCATTAGATACGTAAAAACGAAAAAGAGCCTTTCCGTCTACTTAGCAAACTCAAAAGTTCGTCTTGGTTTCCAATTTGGAAGCCAGATCCGGTCGCTCGGTACAAGCGAACAGTTGAACATGTACATCGAAGTATGCAAAAAAAATTAATAATAAATTAAATTTGCTGGATTAGATTAGGAGCCTTGGTAGTACAGTGGTTTAATGCACCCTGTTATTAACATCAGCTGCCTGCAATTTCTGCAGGTTCGAATCTTACCAGGCTCAAGGTTGACTCAGCCTTCCATCCTTTCTAAGGTAGATTAAATGAGGACCCAGTTTGTGGGGGCAATAAGCTGACTTTGTATAAATATACAAAAGGATGAAGGCTATTGCTTAACGCATTGTAAGCCACCCTGAGTCTCCGGAGAAGGGCGGCATATAAATCAAATTAAAATAAAATAAAATAAATAAATAAAATAAATAAATAAATTTTAACACGCCAGAAAGGATCATGGGAAGGGTGAACTTGTAGGATATGTAGAACTTTTAAGTAGGAGGTGGGTAGGAGAGGTTTTTTTTAAAAAAAAAGAAATGAGAAGAGAGAATTGATGTGTTGAAACTTCTCATGCCTTATAGGAAAGATGGAGGAGAGGATAGAGAGATAGGTAAGAACGGGGGGAGGGGGGAGAGACGGTGTGTGCTTCATGTAAAAAGGAGGATTTACAAATAATACAAATAATACAAGAAAGAGACTAATAAATTGGTGCTGTCCCTCTGGAATGCTTCTTTTAATCCAGGGGGCACAACTGGTTTCATTTGTGCCACGTCTAGGACAAATAATAACCTTCATATATTTTAGGCATCCTTTGAAATCGATGCAGGTAAAGAATGCGGTCTGCAAAAACTGCCCCTTTCCCTCCCCAAAATTTCCAGCCTTGTATAATAAGGCTACCTGAATTTAAAGAATGGAGGCGAACTGGTTTTCAGACGTTCGTTTGGTTCGATAAGGATCTTCAGAATTACAGATGAAAGGGCGATGAGGATAATAATAATTATAACAACAGACGGAAAATGTCAAAAGAATGGTTTCAAGTCGCCGAACATTTTGTCAAGGTTCTAGAAAGAGCTTGAATATTCATTTTGAAATCTCTCTTAAGGCAGAAGGTCGGGCCGGGAAGAAAAGAAAGAAATTAATGATCACACAATCTCTTCGATCAGTTACACGGAACATGCTGAAAAGCCGGAGTATCTTAAGTCGACGTAGCAAAGACAGAAGCTTGGCACGGTTAATGGTTTCTAAGGTTGCGATACTCCCTTGTGAACCGGGCTTAAAAATTTTCCACCTCTCTGCCGTTAATCGGGGAGCCTCCCTTAGCATCCTTTCCCCTCCTTATCAGGGCTCTTAACCTTGTCAACATTCAGAGTTATTCTTCATCTTTGTGCAATCCAAATATGCAAAAATCTTAACAACGGGAGGCGGTTTTTAAAGGGGTCTCAGGTAGTGAAGTCAGGAACGGTCGTAACCGAAAAACGGAGGATGATGTTTGCGTCGCTGTTACAGTGAAGACGAGTTCTTGAAACTTCGGGGTATCCGACGTCGGCAAAACAGCCCTCCAGAAAATGCCCTTGCTTCTAATCTCGTCCTCCAGACCTCTTCAATTTGAGCATCCCCCTAATTCTCTTTATCTACGGGGTGCAGGAAAATCTGAAATCCATCTCGCGGTGCTGTGGGGAAGGGCGCAAATCTCCCAACGTGTTGGAGGGACCTTTGTGCAAAAGATGACACACCCAAGGAATTCCTGTGGTTTCTCTGTTGCTCCGTTGATTCCAAGGCCTGCTGAATGCCGCTTTTTGAGACCGAAGCATTGCTGCCCCGTTGCTTCTGGTTCCTTGGATACAGGCTGCGCTTGCTCTGAATTCGAAACACCCTAAAATGGCACAAAGAAACAGCGGCTGTTGTTGCTTTGTATGTTGCCGGACATCTTTCCCACCAACTTTGTTCCCAGCCTTGGAAGGTTGGCCTAGAACAGGGATCCCCAACCTTTCGGACCTCAGGGACCACTAAATTCATAATTTTAACTCCCGCAGACCACTAATATGATTGTGCCTAATGACTGGCTGGGTGGGCGTGGCTAGATGATCATGTGACTGGGTGGGAGTGGCCAACTCGCATCGAGGGGCACCTCGCTGTCCTCTACTTACCCCTCCCCTCCTAGCCATTCCTCCCTTCCCCGCCCGGCCTCCTTATGGCCCCCACAGGAAGCAGTTGTTGGAGCTAAGCAGCCACCATGAGAAAGAGTTGGCAAAAGAGCTCAGTTCAAATTGGATCTGGCCGAGAAGGAGGCTCAGCAGAAGCACCTCACTGAGGACTAGGAGCATAGGCTTTCCAAGCAGAGGGAAGACCTGCGGGAGTTCAAGGCCAGGTACCGGCGCCTGGAGGCTCAGCGGGCTGAGATGGTCAGTCAGTTCCAGGCCATGAGGCAGTCCCACTGGAACGAGGCCCTCCGGCTCTTTGCCACCAGCGGCTCTTCCCTCCAGCCTTCGCCCAAAGCCCCACACCAGGAGGCTGAAGCAGACCCCGAGTCGGAATTTCTGTCCCCCTCCGACCCGCACAAAAAGACCCCAAAGGGGGAGACTCTCTGCAGCAACACAAACCTTCATTGCACGTATCCGGCCCAGGGGCCGTAGTTTGAGGACCTCTGATTTAGTGCAATATAAAATGCAAATAATTTTTCTGCGGACCCCCAAAATTTTCTCACGGACCACCAGTTGGTGCCCACTGGTCTAGACCAAGGATGCCCAACCGTGGCAATTTTTAAGACCCGTGGACTTCGACTCCCAGAATTCCTCAGGCTGGCTAGTCTGGGAGGCATCCCTTGGGGTATTTCTTCCCTTAAGTGTTTTGTCTTGATCTAAAATCCCAAACTCTGCAAGGAGAGAAAAACATTTTCAACAGTTCTCGGAACACATTCCTGGCACACGGTTTTTTTTTTTAAAAAAAAAAAATTTTTTTTTTACTTTCCCAAGTCTTAAAAACTTCAAGATTGCATCACGATTTGAGTGTCGGGTTTTTTATTATTATTTTTTTTTACTACTTCACTCACTGCTTTTTTTACGCTGCATTGGAAATTTCATTTTCATTTTTTTAAAATGTTCGAGTCGTCTCGTTGAAAAAGGGGCGGGGGTGTCCCTTTTAGAGCAGGGGTCTCCAACCTCGGCAACTTTAAACCTGGCGGACTTCCAACTCTCCAGCAAAGCTGGCTGGAGGATTCTGGGAGTTGGAAGTCCGCCAGGCTTAAAGTTGCCGAGGTTGGAGACCCCTATTTGAGAGGTTCCAAAGGGAAGGCAGCCCTCCCACCCCATCCCCACCCCCCGTCGGCCTCATCCCTTTTGTTTCTCCTGCAGTCATCATCATCGGGAACGGGATAATCCCAGTTCAATTCGAGTGTCATAAAATTGCTTCACCTTTCTTTGGAACAGAGGTGATGTTTGCTTGAGCGCCCAACTCCGATTTTTTTTTTGCCAGCCTGCCTGCACTGCAGCATCTGTTGATTTCAAGAGCCTCTTGTTTGCTCTCCTTTATGCTGCAACTGCCCTCCCCCCCACACACACACACCCTGGACCCTGCCAGGATTACTAGATCCGATGCGGAGATGCTTCAGGGAGTCGGGAACAAACACAATTAATCTCGTGCATTCAGAACAGTTCCATAGTCCAGTCGGAGGTGATTTTGTTGACTTTCTTTCCCCTGAGCCACCTGGGGCGACTCACTTCTATAGATAGATAGATAGATAGATAGATAGATAGATAGATAGATAGATAGATAGATAGATAGATGATAGATGGATGGATGGATGGATGGATGGATGGATGGATAGATAGATGATAGATAGATAGATAGATAGATAGATAGATAGATGATAGATAGACAGACAGATAGATAGATGATAGATAGATAGATAGATAGATGATAGATAGATAGATAGATAGATAGATGATAGATAGACAGACAGACAGACAGACAGATGATAGATAGATAGATAGATAGATAGATAGATGATAGATAGACAGACAGACAGACAGACAGACAGACAGACAGATAGATAGATGATAGATAGATAGATAGATAGATGATAGATAGATAGATAGATAGATAGATGATAGATAGACAGACAGACAGACAGATGATAGATAGATAGATAGATGATAGATAGATAGATAGATAGAGAGATAGATGATAGATAGACAGACAGACAGACAGATGATAGATAGATAGATAGATGATAGATAGATAGATAGATAGATAGATAGATAGATAGACAGACAGATGATAGATAGATAGATAGATGATAGATAGATAGATAGATAGAC